AAACTTCTTCAACATAAAAGAATCAAATCGAATGCCTCTTGTGCGGAAGGGTGTGCTGCTAGGCTTTTAAAATTGACTAAATTAGCTTTTTTCGCTATACGTAATTTTCCAAATAAGGTCATTTTCGCTATGAGAATACCCCAGATTCTAAAATAAAAAAGGCTTAGGTTCTAGTTGTGTGGCAAACTTTAGGTAAACTTCTTTAACATAAAATAATCAAATCGAATGCCTCTTGTGCGGAAGGGTGTGCTTCTAGGCTTTGAAAATTGACTAAATAAGCTCATTTCGCTATATGTAATTTTTCCAAATAAGGCCATTTTCGCCATAAGAATAACGTAGATTATAAAATAAAAAAGGCTTAGGTTCTAGTTGTGTGGCAAACTTCAGGTAAACCTCTTTAACATGAAATAATCAAATTGAATGCCTCTTGTGCGGAAGGGTGTGCTGCTAGGCTTTGAAAATTGACTAAATTAGCTTTTTTCGCTATACGTAATTTTTCCAAATAAGGCCATTAATGCTATTAGAATACCCCAGATTCTAAAATAAAAAAGGCACAGGTTCTAGTTGTGTGAAAAACTTCTGGTAATCTTCTTTAATGGGAAATAATCAAATCGAATGCCTCTTGTGGGGAAGGGTGTGCAGCTGGGCTTTGAAAATTGACTAAATTATCTTTTGTCGATAAACGTATTTTTTTCAAACAAGGCCATATTCGCTATGAGAATACCCTTGATTTTAAAATGAAAAAGGCATGGGTTCTAGTTGAGTGAAAAACTTTTAAAGCTTTTATTATTTATTTTTTGGTTATATACATGTTATTTTTCCTAAATTATAAACATATTTCCCATAATAGTATGCTAATTTCGTTTATCTTCATTTTTTCGGGTGTAGATTCTGACACGCCTCCATTTCTGCCATAAATATTAACCTTTCCGCTTCGCCGCACACAAAGGTCAAATTGCTACTAGCTTCACAGTGGTGTTGCCGGCCGTTGGCCCGAACCACGCTGCCTATCTCTTGAAGCAGAGCAATCATGAAACTATCTCGATTCGTGAATAATTAATGAGCGATACCGGGATAAGAACACGCGAAACTGCTTTATAAGTGTGACGACCCTTGTTTTGCCTGTTAAATGACTTCATGTAATATGTTTCCATATTTGCTGTGTGTGACTGAGTGTTTCGGTTTGATTAGTGGGTTTTGAATGTCTGTGTGAATGCCTCTGGTCTTCAGGGATGTTTGTCTGTGTTGTGTGACTGTCGGATGTTTTGTGCTGGACAGTGGGCTGACGTAGGGACCATGTTACTGTTTTTACCGGTACAGTGCCATTACAGTTCATTTACCGTAGTGTTGTATTTTCAGTTTTATCGTGGAATTAGCTTTCATCAGTATTGTTCAAATGTTGTGCACCTATAGAATTGTTTATAGTCTTTTTAAATGCCTGTCATAAGTTACTTTCGGCCTGTTTTGCAAATTGCAGTAGCTAATTTATGGTACCAGATTCTAGGGGTCATTTGATTTTTATTCAGAGTTGTCTTGGATTTCAGGGTTCGTCAGTGTTTTTATTGTGTATATGGGCTTTCTTGCATTGTGCTGCCCGGTATTGTCATTTTTATTGTATGCTTTCCGTTGCTTTGGAGTGTTTGGTTGTTTTGAATCGTTCACTGTTCGAGTTGTTAAATAAATGACATAAAACAGTGTAAAGGCTTGGACTATTGAGAGGGAAACTATAGGACAGATCATATTAGAAGATATTCTGAATCTGGATAATTATTTCATACATTGCGGGTACGCTACATAAGCATTGTGACGTAATAAGCTGAAATTATAAATTATTACTTCAAACGTCACGCGGCGGTTAACCGGTTAATTTTACCCGGTTAATGGTTAAAGTGTTTTCCCTGAACTTCCCAGCCCTATTTATAATTGATTAATTAGTGAACGACTTAGGCTTGTAGTGTTAGTTATATTTAGGGTATTTATTTGTGCTACTAATAATAGTGTATTATTGATATTCCTCACAGTTGTCATTGTAATATTGCTAAATAAATCAGTCAAGTTTTTGTGATAAAATGTTCAAGTTACTGCTTGACGACTCTTGAGGACACAACGTCAAGTATGTTTATACATATAGTTCTGTATTCTAAGTTTTACATGGTTTGTATTTGTTTTCCTGTCAGGCCTTGAAAGTGCCGGCAGAGGTACCGGTAATTTGTGTGTTTATTTATTATACGGTAACCGTTAGTGATGCCATAATTGGTCATTAGGTGATTGTGTGACGTAATAAAGATATTTAAGGTTTGTTTACAATAATATAGAGCTACTGATACGATACTGCCCCGATCTTGTTATTATTTGTGTATTTATTATTTTTATGTTATTTCAGAAAACCGTACTGCTGTATTGTTGTTCGTACTACGTTGTTTGTTCGTATTGTTTTACGTTTTACACTGTTTGCTACACATCACAAAAAAATAAAACATCTTATGCTGATACAGTGATAGTACGCGTCTTTTTGGGAGTGCAACCTGGCCGTCAAGAGTATTGGTATTGGCCATCCGTACACCCTATGTGGGCAGAGTCTGCGCTCCACAATTAAGATTTAATCAAGGCTCTGCGCCAACATAAAGTTTTTTGACGCTTCTACAAAGTATTGACAATTGTAAAATTTAAAGGCCTTTACCAGTGGACATAAAATTATGGCTGAGTCAAATCCAGTTCAATATACTGAAGAAGATGTACAAAGTTTTCAAAATGCACAAGAAATGGTGCTAGAACAAGAATCTGATGATTTAGAACCTTCCCAAGTTCCAATAACACTGTCATCACAAATGAAAGAGCCTGCAGTTGACCCTGTCGCTGCTGAAAAAATATTATCTCCCGTTGGTTCCGGTAGTGGCTCGATTCATGACCTTTTCCGAAGATCGTCTGATGTGGATTCGGTTTCCCAAATAGAAAATGAAACAAATAAACAAGGGAAGTTCGTAGCATCTTTCAATGCTGAAGATAAGCAAATGAATGTTCACGAAATGACCACAAGAGCGAAATCAAAATATAGTGGTCAATCATGTGACAGTGTTTCACAAAAATCAAAAGTTTTCAGTGTTGGGAGTTCGTTACGATCTCGAAGTATCCGAACTGTGTCATCAGTAATGTCACGGGTATCCACTTACAGTGACTCTCAAATCCAAGATATTTACAAAGCAAAAAAATTAAATTTCTAAAAAAAGATTGAGCTGGAAAAGATTCAGCTACAAGACTCCATTTCTCAGGAAGAAGCAGATTGGAGCGAGAAAGTGAGAATGGAAAATGAAGAAATAAGACGAAATGGTCAAATTGAAGAAGAAAAGTTAATACGAGAAAACGAATAAATCAAACGAAAACGTCAAATTCAAGAGGAAAAGATTCGAATGGAAGAAGAAGAGCTAAGAAGAAAGGGTCAAATCGAAAAGGAAAGTTTCCAAAAACGCAAAAGACAGAGAACTAAATGAACTAAAACGTAGAGAGCAGCGCACCCAGTTAGAATTGGATGCTGACTTTACGGAAGCTATGGCAGAGAGGGGGTTACCTTTTGACCTTCCTGCTATTTCCGATACAAATGGAAGTGAACTTTTACTTGGCACCTGTACAAATATGTCAAATAGTAACGAGATACAGAATGTATCTCCACTTGAAATAAGATCTCATTCTCCTGCTACAATTGGAATATATTCAATCTACTGTGCCATCTCAGACCATGTTAACAACTGCAAATCAGCCAAGTTACACGTTGGGGGATGTTTCGCTTTCCGTGCCTGCTATTGGTGTGGATCAAGGTATGTCTGTTGTTTATTCATCCTCCCCTGGTTTTGAAATTTGTTGTCCACATACTACCAGTGTGCTTGGTGTGAATGAATGCGTGGTTGTGGCTAGTACTGCATCTCATAATGCTAATAATAATTCAATAACATCTAAACAAATAGATTCTGCTGTGAATCCAGTAAATGTGCTTGCAAATCAAATACAGCCTATACGTATGAGTTCATATGCTGCATGCCATACTTTTACTGCTAGCTCAAGTTATTTTGCTGCTTCTACTACCAGTAATAATGCACCTACCAGTAATTGCATGACTTATTCTTGCACTGATTTTGCTAGCAATTTTAGTTCAATGTTTCGCTTTCCGTGCCTGCTATTGGTGTGGATCAAGGTATGTCTGTTGTTTATTCATCCTCCCCTGGTTTTGAAATTTGTTGTCCACATACTACCAGTGTGCTTGGTGTGAATGAATGCGTGGTTGTGGCTAGTACTGCATCTCATAATGCTAATAATAATTCAATAACATCTAAACAAATAGATTCTGCTGTGAATCCAGTAAATGTGCTTGCAAATCAAATACAGCCTATACGTATGAGTTCATATGCTGCATGCCCTACTTTTACTGCTAGCTCAAGTTATTTTGCTGCTTCTACTACCAGTAATAATGCACCTACCAGTAATTGCATGACTTATTCTTGCACTGATTTTGCTAGCAATTTTAGTTCAAATACAGGTACAATTCCAATTTATAACTTGTCACAAGCAGCCAATGGTGACATCAATAGACTGACAATGCCAATTATTAATAAAGAAGTTACTTAAATTAATATACCCCAGCCGAGCCAGTTACTAATACAATCAACACCACAAGTGATTTATGTGCCCCAGCAAGCAAATTTGCCTCCAACAGAACCTCCCGTTTTCTCTGGTGATCCTGGTGAATACCATGACTTTATTGATGTTTTTGATACCGTTATTGCTGCAAAGGTGCAGAATGCAAAACAAAGATTTGTTTATCTGTTACAATACACAAGAGGCACTGCTCGTGCTCTAGTAAAAGGGTGTCAACATTAAGGTCCAGCATGCTATGATGATTGAAATTACTCGCAGAAACTTATGGCCATAAATTGCAAATTGAACAGGCATGTTTGAATTCTATTATAGAAGGCCCGCACCTTAGAACCAATGACCTGGAAGCTTTAACAATGTTTGCTGCTGAATTGATTGCATGTGAAAATACATTAAAAGGTATTAAAAATAAAGGTCTGTCTTTGATGATCATTGATAAAATATCGTGGAGAATGCCATCAGTTTGGAGGCCAGGTTGGCGAACTTTGGTGGATGATACTCTTCATGTGAAAGAAAAGGACTTGAGCTTAGCACATCTCGTGTCATATGTGCGTAAGAAAACGAGGGAATTGTCAAACCTTTCTAATCCTGAAACAAATAATATCTAAAAACCCAGAGAGAGATCTCCGCTGCTGACAAACCAATTCCTAAATGTTTTAAATGCAGTGGCACTCATTTCCTGAATCAATGTCAAGAGTTTAGGAACATGAAACATGCGGACAGAGAAAGATTTGTGAGGGATTTGAAATTATGTTTTTCTTGTCTACAAAACGGGCACTGGTCAAGGCAGTGCAGACGCGAGAACCCATGCAGGGTTCCGAATTGTAAGCGAAAACATACTACGCTTTTGCACCCCCCAGATAATGTAAATGCGGATGATCAATCTGAACATCATAAGCCTGCTGATGATGCTTCTGTATCAAAAAATACTAATGAAAACAAAAAAGGAAAATAAATTTAGTGCGTTTGTGAATTCTGCCAGTGAAACAGGAGTTTTATTAAACGTAATTCCAGTCAAGGTACGTGTGAAGGGACAGAATGATGTTGTGTTAACAAATGCCTTTTTCGACACTGGCTCAACATGTTCTTTTATAAGTGAAGCGCTCATGCAAAGATTGAATGCCACTGGTCATGAAACAAATTTAAATATTCGTACTATTTCAAATGTGACTGAACAAAGGAAAAGCTCTGTTATTGATGACATAGAGCTATCCCATTTTGATGAATCTAATTTTATTGCACTGGGTCAACTGTTTTCTAATAAATGCATCGATATTGATGTTTCAAATATTCCAACACAGAAGGATGTGGATCAGTTTCATGAATTCAAGGATGTGGTAATTCCCAGGCTAAATCAAGAAGTTGGCTTGTTAATAGGAAAAGATAATTTTGCTCTACATAAGCCATTGGAAATTGTACACGGGCCAGATGAATATTTTGCTGTGAGATGCCCTGCTGGATGGATGATTAGCTGTCCTCCCAAAAATAAGAAAATTGAAAGATCAAATTCCAACTTTTTCATCAAATCTAGTGTGCACTCTGTAAAATGTGCACTGAAGTGGTCGACTCGATACAAAACGAAAAACCAGAATTTTCCCCTAATCGAGAAATTTTCATGGAAAGAGTGAATAAGTCTATTCATTTGACAACGGATGGACATTATGAAATTGATCTTCCATTTAAAAATCCTAATGTGATCTTGCCAAAAAACAAAAGTCATGCAGAACAAAGATTAGAATATCTCAGAAGACGATTTTTAAAAGAACCGGATTTCTACAATGAATACAAAAGTTTTGTAAAATATATGATTGATAATGGTTATGCAGAAAAGGTCAACAATTCAGGGGAATGTGATGGTAAAACTTGGTATCTTAGTCACCACGGAGTGCGCCACCCAGAAAAGAAAAGCCTTTGTGTTGTATTTGATTGTTCAGCTAAATTTTCTGGACTGTGTTTGAATGACGTTCTGTTACAGGGGCCAGACCTTGCAAATAATTTGGTTGGTGTTCTGGCTCGTTTTCGAAAACAATCCGTTGCAATTCAAGAGACATCCGAGCAGTGTTTCACCAAGTGAAAGTTTCCGAACCTCATAGAGATTTTTTGACATTTCTTTGGTGGCGCAATGGCGATGTCTCACAACCTGTGGTCTGCTTTAGTATTCTTTTTGGTACAATCTGCTCACCCAGTTGTGCCAATTTTGCCTTGAAAAGGACTGCTGAAGATAATAAAGAAGATTTTAGTGAAAGCACTGTAAATGCTGTTTATGATGCTTTCTACGTTGATGATTTTTTGGATTCAAAACCCAATGCTGAGGAAGCTATAGATCATGTCAAGAATGTAAAAAATTTAGTATCTAAAGGTGGATTTGAAATAACAAAATGGGTCAGTAATGATCGAGCTGTTTTGCTGTCAATTCCGGAAGAGCATCGTGCAAAAGATGTCAAAGGATTGGATCTCTCAGTGGATGATCTGCCAGTGGAAAAGGCGCTTGGCATGATTTGGGATGTAGAACAAGATACTTTGTGCTTTCATGTCAAGCGTAAGGATAAACCTGCTACAAAAAGAGGATTGTTGTCAACTATTAATTCTATTTTTGATCCTCTTTGTTTCGGTCAGCCAGTTCTTCAACCTATGAAAGTTTTGATCCAAGATCTATGTAGGAAGAAATTTGATTGGGACGATCCTATTCCACCAGAATTGAAGAAAGAATGGTTAAAATGGTTTTCTGATTTACCAAAATTGAAGAATTTCAATGTACCGAGATGCTATACACCAAAAGATTTTGGTAAAATAATCGATATAAAACTTCATCATTTTTCAGATGCGTCTGAAAAGTCATATGGTGCCGTATCCTACATTAGAATTACAAATACGTAATGGACAAGTTCATTGTGCTATTATAAGTGGAAAAACCAGACTTGTCCCTTTAAATGGTTCAACAATACCGCGACTCAAACTTTGTGCAGCAACAATTCCTGCTAAAAATGATGCATTTCTAAAAAAAGAACTCAAACTTCCAATTTCGGCTTCATATTTTTGGACCGACAGTACAACTGTTCTTTGATACCTGGCAAATACAGATAAAGTATTTAAAACTTTTGTGGCCAATAGAGTAAACTTGATAAAAGAAACCTCTGAAATTGAACAATGGCGTTATGTGCCTACACAACTGAACCCAGCAGATGTTGCCTCAAGGGGACTCTCAGTTGATGCGTTTTTGAATTGCCAATACTGGAAATCTGGTCCTGATTTTTTGTGGCAAACTGCTGAGGAATGGCCTTTACAGCCCGATTTTATGACAGATTACACTACGGATGATCTTGAGGTGAAAAAAGAATCGATACAATGTTTTCCAAATACAGCATGTGAAAAAATCGGTCCTGGATCGTATAATTTCAAAATATTCAGACTGGTTTCGTCTGAAGATATCTTTTGCCTGGATATTGCGAGGTAAAAATATGTTGTTTTCAAAACTTAATGCAAATGAATTGCCTTCTAACCTGCCGCATTCTAAAATCGCATTCAACCACTTTCTGTTACTGAGCTACAAAATGTGGAATTGGAAATAATCAAGTACGAACAAGCGAAATTTTTCGGCGAAGAAATACGTTTGCTGTCGAATAATCAAAAAATTCTAAAATCAAGCACTTTGATTTCGCTTCGTCCTTTTTTAAAAAATGATATTCTTCGTGTTGGAGGCAGAATCAAAGATGCACCAATTAGCTATGATGGTAAGCATCCAATCGTTATACCAAAAGACAGTCTTATTGCATCCCTGATGGTTGAATATATTCATAGGACAACTGGACACAATGGAAGAGAACTATTGGATTGTAAAGGGGACTTCATTAGTGAGGAAAATTATCAACAATTGTGTCTTGTGCAGAAGAAAGCAGCGTAAACCCGAATATCAAGAAATGTCAGATTTGCCTGTTGATAGAGTAACTCCTGATAAACCACCATTTTCATATGTGGCTTTAGACTGTTTTGGGCCTTTCTTCATTCGTCAAGGAAGAAGTGATGTTAAGCGATATGGGGTTCTCTTCACATGTTTAACCACACGCGCAGTACATGTGGAAATAGCTCAAAATTTGGACATGAACTCATTTATAATGGCTTTAAGGAGATTTGTTTCTCGTAGAGGTCGAGTGTTGGAAATTCTAAGTGACAATGGTTCAAATTTTGTAGCCGCTGAACATGAGCTTCGTCAAGCAATAGAATGTTGGAATCAGAAGCAAGTTAATGATTTTCTGCTCCAGAAAAATATAAAATGGATATTTCAAACACCTTCCGCTTCACATCATGGTGGTGTTTTTGAAAGACAAATTCGGACTGTCAGAAAGGTATTTAATTCAATTTGTCGGGAACAAACTTTAAGCGATGAGGCTCTATCCACCTTGATGTGTGAATGTGAATCTATTATAAATGGACGTCCAATTACAACAGTTTCAAGTGATGTAAATAAATGACTTGACACCACTGTCTCCAAATTCATTATTGTTATTAAAGCAAGAACCTGTTCTTCCACCAGGTTTGTTTGAACAAAAGGATGTGTATTCGAGGAAACGCTGGAAACAGGTCCAGTATTTGGCAGATATTTTCTGGCAAAGATGGAGAAAGGAATATCTACCTCTTCTACAACAAAGAAAAAAGTGGAACAAACCTCAACGTAATATGAGCGAGGATGACATTGTTTCTCATTGTGGATCATAACTTGCCACGAAATACCTGGCTGTTGGGTAGAGTTATCAAGACTTTCCCTGGCAAGGAGGGCCTTGCTCGATCTGTTAGTGTCCAGACCCAATATTCTGTTCCTCAAAGACCTGTTACAAAGCTTATTTTATTGCATGCTTGTAATTAGCAAGTTACCCTGTGCATGAAATTTTTTTGCATGACACAATTTCGTTATATTTTGTGTGTTTGTTATTTGTTTGAATGTGTGTGTGGAAATCTGTAAATTGGTGTATGTGGACATAAATTTTCAATTTCCAAGGGGCCAGGGTGTTACCGCCAATATCTTGAAGTAAAATTATTGCTCCCGCAAGTTGGCGCCATGGACCAGCTTATTGAATGCTTGGTTATTGCACCACAATGACTTTGTGGAAGTGACGTCAGGGGACCGCGCACGCTGCAGGGTTCTGGAATTTTCTGGCTGATGGCTGTTCTGACGTCGGTCTGAGAGTGTTATTTTAGGGTTTATCATTGATTAATTAGTGAACGACTTAAGCTTGTAATGTTAGTTATATGTATTTATTTTTATATATGTTTTATATTATATTTATTTGTACTGCTAATAATAGTGTATTATTGATATTCCTCATAGTTTTTATTGTAATATTGCTAAGTAATTCAGTCAAGTTATTGTGATTTAATGTTCAAGTTACTGCTTGACGACCCTTGAGGACACAACGTCAAGTAAGTTTATACATATAGTTTTGTATTCTGAGTTTTACATGGTTTGTATTTGTTTTCCTGTCAGGCCTTGAAAGTGCCGGCAGAGGTAATTTGTGTGTTTATTTATTATAACCGTTAGTGATGCCATAATTGGTCATGAGGTGATTGTGTGACGTAATAAAGATATTTAAGGTTTGTTTACAATAATATAGAGCTACTGATACGATACTGCCCCGATCTTGTTATTATTTGTGTATTTATTATTCTTATGTTATTTCAGAAAACCGTACTGCTGTATTGTTGTTCGTACTGCTGTATTGTTCGTACTACGTTGTTTGTTCGTATTGTTTTACACGGTTTGCAACACATCACAAGAAAATAAAACATCTTATGCTGATACAGTGATAGTACGCGTCTTTTTGGGAGTGCAACCTGGTCGTCAAGAGTATTGGTATTGGCCATCCGTACACCCTATGTGGGCAGAGACTGCGATCCACAATTAAAATTTTATCAAAGCTCTGCGCCAACAGGCCCTGGTAGAAGAGCCTGCTTTATATAAATACAAAATCGCAAAAGGGATGGGAGTGCGCAACGCTTTTTGAACCAAGGAAAAATAATCTTTATCTACAGAAAACCGAATTTTCAAAATTGAACTTTTTATTATATTATATATATATTATTATCGCTAAGTGCGCCTCGAAAATCAGGACATTTGTGTTAAATATTAACTAATATATGATTGGATATTTTATTTATTCTGAATGTTTTTTTGTTTCCCATTATTGCAAATGGTCTGTATATAAATCAAATTCAATTTACCGTTCTATGTTGTTCACTTTCTGTTACGTAGGGTCTATTGTTACGTAACAGAAGAGATAAACCCTACATGCTGCAATTTCGTAGGCTGCAGTTTATTCATTTGCTGAACCGAGATTATCGAATATAAGAATAAAATGTAAACCTTTTGCCTTCATTTATTTGGCCTACGTGATTATAAACCTATTTTGAGGCAGCATTATTTTCATGTAAGTGCGCCGCTAGTTTTTCCCTGATAATTTGGCGTCGCACATTTTGATCAATAAGAGTGAGTAACAATTCCGGGTAAGAGCCATGCCGGCTGGATTCGATATGTGCTTGTTTTATCGAGTAGGCCTACTAAGAGTTGAGAATTACGGTAGCTGTGTCAATAAAATAGCAAAAATGCATATTTCGAACTGTTCAACATTATTAACGTGAACGAGGGCCGCGAAAAATTTTAATATATTTAAAGGGGCCGCGAGCTCAAAAGTTTGGGAAGCCCTGGTCTATACCATATGTACAGCCAACGGAACAATACGAAATAACCATTTTCAACAGCCAAACAAACCGGAAATGTATAATCCGACTTGCACCTGACAAGAGCCAGCTGGACGTTTTTGTCGTCCAGTAAACAAAGTCACTAGACTCGTGCAAGTCCTCTATACGAAGTTAAGTCATCCAACTTAACTCGATAAATCAACACCCAATAAGCACAAAAGAGATACACATTTTATTATAAGAGTTCCTGATGTAAGTATCGCTAATTGCACAGAACTTATTTTAACAAACTGACAGAACTACAATACAACTACTTGTACATGATAAAATTTTCAACACTGTGTACATCGTCAAAATATATTAGACAAGAGAGCTACGCACAAATATATGGACACGTTAGACCAGAGCGAATCAGTCCTTACCGGTACCTTTGACGCTACCGGTACCCTCAACAAAGTTCTGAATTTCCAGTAGCAAGAATTTTGCAGATTCAAAACGTACAGCCAGTCATGACACTGACTAAAATCCGTGTTCCCATGGATGAAAAATAATACAGCAAAATTTTAGACGAAATATCAAATTTCATAGAATTCACGCAAAATTTTGAAATAAATAAAAGTAATAGCCTTCTAGCGAAAAAAGTAATCTTTAACCACTGAAAATTTCAAAGCAATTGGTCCAGTATTCGAAGAGAAAAGCGACTTTTTAAAAAACGTGTCAAAGAACAACAACAACAACAACATAATATTAAAACGATCGTTATGGCCACTAAACGTGTCCAAAAATATACTACATACTGATACATGGAATGAAGGATAATTGCTATTGACATAATGCAAAATTTCGACGACGAGTTCTCACTACTACGTCATCAACGGGACATACTAATTTGCGTTCGATTTCGGCAGGGTTGACTATTAAAAATTCGAGTTTCGCAAACGAAGTCCACTTTATGCAAACGGTGAACGCCAAAATTCCTAAAAAGATATATAGAATTAAATTTGTCACAATAATGTTAGCGTGATAACTCACCTTTAACGCAGCGCGTCAATGCAAAAAATGTGTCCACGAGAATTCGTTGCGTTGACGCATTGTGTCAAAACTATGCGTTAACGCAGCCACGCACGATTGAGTTAAACAAACAAGGTTTGAAGGTGCGTCAACGCAATAGTGTGAACATATGTGAA